CTGGCTTAAAACCAAACCAGACCAAAGCTAATCAAATCAAAGCAAATTATTTCTTTGTACCTTGCCACTAAGTTAGAATGCTGTTCTTTACTAACCTGCTATATGATAATGTGCTCTCTCTCTCTCCCTCTCTCTGTGTCTCTGTGTCTGTCTGTCTGTCTATCTCTGTCTTTGCAGTGCTGGGGATATTGTTAGACAAGTACTCTACCACTAAGCTACATCCCTAGCCTGGATAATTTTTTTTTTAAAGGTTTATTTTGGGGGCTGGAGAGATGGCTCAGCAGGTAGGAGCACTGTTCTTGCAGAGGACCCAGATTAAATTCCCAGCATCCATATGGCAGCTACCAACTGTCCATAACTCCAGTTCCAGGGGATCTGATGCCCTTTTCATACCTCCAGGAGCATTGTATGACATGGGTGTACTTACATACACGTAGGAAATACACTCATACACATAAGATAAAAATAATAAAAATATTTTAAAATAGATTTATTTTATGATTATTATTTTTAAACTTTATTTTTATTATATGTATTAATGTTTTGCCTGCATGTATGTAAGTGCACCTGTGTGTGAAATGCCCACAGAGATCAGAAGAGGGTGTTGGATTCTCTGGAACTGGAGTTAGCAATGGTTGTTAGCCACCATGTGAACTGAACCTGGTCCCCTGCAAGAGCAGCCAGTGCTCTTAATGGCTTATCTATCTCTCCAACCCTTATTTTTAAAAATGAAGTGTGTGTGTGTGTGTGTGTGTGTGTGTGTGCGCGCACGCTCGCGCACTCATATGAGTGTGGGTGTCCATGGAGTCCAGCAAGTGTCAGGTCCCCTGGAGCTGTAGTTACAGGCAATTATGAGGCCCCCAACATGGGTGCTGGGAACCCCACTCTGTTCCTCTACAAAGAGCAGTGCATGTTCTTAACTGCAAGCCATCCCTCCAACCCCTTATAAATTCCTAATAAAAGCTTACAGTTACATCTTCTCCGTGTTGTAACTTTTGACAGTTCTATAGGGATAAGCTGATGTTTCTACCTATACTGTTAGTTGTACATATGATTTGATATAGAGACAGTAGGATTGAATCCACACTCTTGACTCACTCTTGCCCTGTGCTTCATTCTTAGGTTTCACTGCGAGGTGAAGGTGGTTGCTAGTGTCTCTGGTTGTGTGCTTCCCAGTGTGGGGGTGGGGGACTCCTACCAGTTTTACATAATTTCTGGACCTTCCATTGGCCCTCATTGGAGCCCGTGTTAGAAATGGGATGTGCTGATTGGCTGGATCTGAATCCCACATACATCTCCCATGTAGGAGAGTGAGGCCCTGAAGTGGGGGGTGATAGGGTGGTAGTTCTACAAAGGAAAGGCTTAAGGCTTCTCTCTCTTTCTATCTGCCTGCCTGCCTGCCTGTCTGTCTGTCTATCTATCTAAATTTTTTTTTTTTTTTACTAAAATAGATGTTGGGCAGGCCAATGCAAACAAACAAAAATAACAAAAGCTAAACCAAGAAATTTCCTGCAGACTACTATTAATCTATGAAGTAGCCTTTTAAGAATATGAGTGCTGTTAACAAGAAAAGCAGCCATTTTAGGTTCTTGAGAAGCATTGGTTTCCTGTCCTACTACCTACTGCTCCTCCTCCTCCTCTTTTTTTATTTTATTTTATGTTTATGGGTGTTTTGCCTGCATGTATGTAAGTGCACCCATGTTGTGCAGTGCCTGCAGAGGTCAGAAGATGGTGTTGGATCCCCTGAAACTGGCGTTGTAGACAGTTGTTAGCCACCATGTGGGTGTTGGGAACTGAACCTGGGTCCTCTGTAAGAGCAGCCAGTGCTCTTAACCACTGAACCATCTCTCCAGCTGCCTCCTTTTTAATTTTATCTTACTATTTTTATTTTGATTTTAAGTGTTTGAGTGTATTGCCTGCATGTAGGTAGGTAAGGGCACCTGTGTCATGCATTGCCCATGGAGGTCAGAAAATGGTGTCGGATCCTCGGAACTGGAGTTAACAGACAATGTTAGCTGCCTTGTGGATGCTGGGAATCACAGCCAGGTCCTCTGTAAGATAACTGTCGAGCCATCTCTCCAACTGCTTCCTTTTTAAAACTAAAGTAAATACATGTGTCAAATTTACTATGTATAATATTAAATTTTGTGTTAGAATTTACATTTTGAAGATTTGTAATCAGTGAAGGATTACTTTACTGATTACAAATCAGTGCCTCTTGTCACTGCTAACATTTCAGGTACTTGAATTGTATTCTATCCCCAAATCACAGCCCAATGGTTTTTGTAAAGACAGGTTCTCACTATATAGTCCTGGCTGGCTTGGAACTCACAGTGTAGACCCTGATGGCCTTGAACTCACAGAGCTTGACCTGCCTCTGTCTCCCTTGAGCTGGGATTAAGGGTATGTGCCACCATGCCTGGCTCCAATAGTTTTAATTTTACTTGTTAGTTAATGTTTTAGTATCTGTATAGTCCATTAAGGACATTGCAAGATCAAATCAAGTTTTTAAATTTTTTTTTCTTTTTATCTTTTTTGAGTCAGGGTCTCTCTGTAGCCCCAGCTGGCCTGGAACTCCCTCTGTAGACCATGTTGGCTTCAAACTCACAGAGATCTGCCTGCCTCTGCCTCCTAAGTGCTGGGGTTAAAGGTATGTACCACCATGCCCGGCTTAAGTTTTTTTTTAAATATTTTATTTATTATTTTTATTTTATGTGTATGAGTGTATTGTCTGCATGTATGTGAGTGTACCCATGTCGTGCAATGCCGTGGAGGTCAGAAGAGGGCTTCAGATTCACCTGGAGTTGGAGTTAAGGATGGTTTGTAGCCACCATGTGGGTGCTGGGAATTGAACCCGGGTCCTCTGCAAGAGCAGTCAGTGCTTTTAACCACTGAGCCATCTCTCCAGACACCCCCACCCCACCCCGCTTAAGTTTTTAATTTTAAGCCCAACTCATCAGCTTCTTCATGGATCAGTGCATTTAGTGTTGTCTCTAAAATGGATTGCTAAAGACAAGGTTACCTGGATTTTCTCCTGTGTCATCTTCTAGGAAATTTATAGTTTTGCAGTTTATATTGGGGTCTGTATCAACTTTGAGTTAATTTTTGCAAAGAGTACAAGATCTTCATCTAGAGCTTTTCCTTTTTACATTTATTTATTTTGTGTGTACATGTGCATATAAATGTATGTGTATGTGTGAGAGGATAACTTGCAGAATCATTCTCTTCTTCCACCATGTGGGCTCTGGGAACTCAGGCATGGTGGTTTGAATGAGAATGTTCCCCATAGGCTCCACATGTAACTCTGGTTGGCCTAGGACTCACTGTATAGCCCAGGCTGGTCTCAAAATCTGTAGTTCTCCTGTCTAACATCTTGTCCCCAATTGGTAACACTATTTTGGGAGGTTGTAGAGAGTGTGGCCATGCTGGAGGAAGCACATCACTGGGGATGGGCTTAGAGAGTTCTCAAACCTTGCAAGATCTCTGGTTGTTCTCTGCTTCCTGTGCCTGCTTGAAGATGTGAACCTCAGCTTTCTGTTCCTGTTCTGGCCTCCTCCTGCCACCATGCCTCCCCAACATGACAAACTCTAATTCCCCTGGAACCATAAGCTCAAATAAACTCTTCTTTTTATAAGTTACTTGGTCAAAGTGTTTTATCACAGCACAGAAAAGTAACTAATATATCAGGTGGTCAGGCTTGGTGGCAAAAAGCTCCTTTATCTGCTGAGCCATCTTGCAGACTTCATGATGATGATGATGGTGATGATGATACTTTGCATATGAATGTCCAGTTTCACTACCATTTGCTGAAAAGACTTCCACTGAATTGCCTCTGATACGTCATTTGAAAATAGTTGGTCTGTTTCTTGGCTCTTTCTGTTCCACCCATCTTGTGCTGTTTCCACACTATCTTGATTACTGTGGCTTTAGAGTCCTGTCAGTTGAGTTTGTTCTTTCTTGATACTGTATTAGGGATTCTCTTTTGTTGTCTTTGACTTTGTGGGGTTTTTTGTTTTGTTTTGTTTTTGTGTTTTAAACCCATTCATATACTTGGAATGTCCCTATATTCATTTAAGATATTTCTTTTGGGCAGCTATCCTGAATTTTGTCATTTTTTTCATAGAGATTTTAACACACATTTTGTTAGATTTTTATTTAAGTATTTAATTTTGGAGAACTGCTCATTGCTGGCTTGCTCCTCTCGCCCCTGCTCAGCCTGCTTTCTTAGGCAACACAGGCCCACCTGCCCAGGAGTGGCACCACCCACAGTGGGCCAGGCCCTCCCACATCACTCCCACATCACGCATAACTGGCCACAGGCCAGTCCAATAGAGGCAATTCCCCCAACTGAGGCTCCCTCAACCCAGGTGTGTCAAATTGACACTAAAGCTATCCAGCATACTAGGTATGGTGCTCCTGTAATCCTATCTTTGGGGAAGTGAAGAGAGGCAGATTCCTGGAGCTTGCTGGTCAACCAATCTAGCCGAATCAGTGAGCTTCAGGTTCAGTGAAAGACCATGTCTCAAAAAAAATGAGGTGAGGGGGCTGGAGAGATGGGTCAGTGGTTAGGAGTACTGACTACTCTTACATAGGACTGGTGTTCAGTTCCCAACACCCACATGGTGGCTAATGACCATCTGTAACTCCAGTTCCAATGGAGATGATGCCCTCTTCTGGTCTTTGTGGGCATTGTGCACATGATGCACTTACATACAGGCAAAACACTCATACATAGAAAAATAAAAATAAATAAAAATTAAAAAATATTTCATGTCTGTTGTTTCATGCTGTGATTGCTCTTTACTTGAAATAGGGCAGGTGTAATTCCTGCTTGGCAGAGGGGTTGCTGAGGCATAGGTAAGAGACAAGGTTATGGGTGCTGGTCCAACAAAGGATAACTGGGACAACCTGTTATGTTTCCTTTTTTTTTTTTGTACGGCAACTTTGAGAACATTCATCAGACTGAAAAGCTGAATGTTTTTTTTGTGGTTGTTTTTTAGCGGCGTCTTCGACATCTTCGGAACATTGCTGCCCGGAACATTGTCAATAGAAATGGCTATCAGCTCCTTGATACCTATTTCACTCTTCATTTGTGTAGCAGTGAAAAGATATGTAAAGGTAAGGGCATCTGTGGCGCCACAGCTTGTTAAGTATCAATCATCTTCATTCTCGCAACGTGAGTGATTCTCAGAGTCTTTTATTGCTGCTTATTGGAAAGTACTTCGAGCAGTTATGCACATTTCAGAAACATGGCCAGTGGATAGCCCTGTAGGGAACAGCCTTTTTTTATGTTGGTATGTTTGTCTTCCCTTTAGAAATGTTACTGTTGATAGGAAAGTACAGTCGCTAATATTTAAAATAGATGATGTAGGTTGAGTATCCTATACAGATTTTACATTTCTTTAAAATATTGCCATTTTCTTAATATCATGGTGACCAAGTTTATGGGACCAAATTTGTATCTTCTAATACGTGCATTTCTTTATGTATGAGGGGTCATTTTCGGAAGAGTGGCCTGGTTTCTTCCCATTCAGTTTCATGTATCATACTGGGGATTCTTCTAGAAGTGACAGTTTTAAGAGGAGATCATTTAATTGATTGAAGATCACTATCTTCTTTGGAACTGGTATCAAATGGAAGGCACTAGGACAGCATCAGTTGGTAGGGGAGAGAAGGTGTGAGAGGACCAGGGTGCAGTGCTGCGCCCATTGCTGGATTACATTGGAAAGCCCACTGTCTCAGCTGCTTGCTTACTTGCTCATGCTTTGATTGAACCCAACTTTTTCCCTTTTGTAAAGTGGAGATAACAATGTCCTATAGAGTAGACAAGACAGATTTTTATGAGGATCAACAGAGAAACTGATAATGCTTGGTAAGATACAATTAGTAATCTGTTTACATAAAAGGCAATACTTTAAAAAGAGGTAGTGAAGACTTGTTTGAAAAAAGTTTAATTCCTCTTTTGTGGTGCTGAGATGGAACCCAGGGCTTCATACATTCTAGGCAAGTGCTCTACCACTGAACTGTATCCCCAGGTCTAAAGCTTATCTTAAAAAACTTAAAAAATAAAGCAGGGTATGATGGTGCACACCTTTAATCTTGGCATTCTGGAGGCAGAGGCGGGCGGATCTCTGAGATTGAGACCAGCCTGGTCTACATGGCAAGTTCCTGACCAGCTGGGGCTACAGGGAGACCCTGTCTCAAAAAAACCATTAAGACATTCAGTCAAGAGTTGGAGATATAAATCAGTGGTAGAATGTTTACCTACCATGTGCCTGGGTTCCATCCATAGCACTGAAAAAATTCAATCAAAAAGTGCATAGAGCAGGACATGATGACACATGCCTATAGTCACAGCATTCGTGAGGCTGAGGCAGGAAGAGTGCTGTGAGTCAGAGGCCAGCTTCGGCTACCTGGTGAGTAACCTCCAGATCAGCCTGAGAGACATGAAAAGGTCAAAAATACCCACCCTCTTCCCCCAAAGATGTTTATAGAGGGCCGAGGGGGTGGCTCAGTAGTAGGATACTTGTCCAGCATTACTGAGGCCCTGGCTTGATCTCTGACACCACAAAACACTGGTATACTCAAAAGGTCTAGGATTTCTCTCCAAGTGCTGACTTGGTATCCAGGTTCCTTTGTCTTGATGCTGTGCTCCTCCAGGTGCTGATTTGGTACCCAGGTCTCTTTGTCTTGAGATGCTGTGCTCCTCCAGGTGCTGACTCGGCATCCTGGTTCCTTTGTCTTGAGATGCTGTGCTCCTCCAAGTGCTGACTTGGTACCCAGGTCTCTTTGTCTTGAGATGCTGTGCTCCTCCAGGTGCTGACTCGGCATCCTGGTTCCTTTGTCTTGAGATGCTGTGCTCCTCCAGGTGCTGACTTGGTACCCTGGTTCCCTTGTCTTGAGATGCTGTGCTCCTCCAGGTACTGACTTGGTACCCAGGTCTCTGTCTTGAGATGCTGTGCTCCTCCAGGTGCTGACTTGGCATCCTGGTTCCTTTGTCTTGAGATGCTGTGCTCCTCCAGTTGCTGACTCGGCACCCTGGTTCCTTTGTCTTGAGATGCTGTGCTCCTCCAGTTGCTGACTTGGCACCCTGGTTCCTTTGTCTTGAGATGCTGTGCTCCTCCAGGTGCTGACTTGGTACCCAGGTCTCTTTGTTTTGCGATGCTGTGCTCCTCCAGGTGCTGACTTGGTACCCAGGTTCCTTTGTCTTGAGATGTTGCAGTCCTCAGTATTTGATCTCTGGCAGGCAAGAAAAAGAAGGATTAGTTGAAGGAGATTTGAAGTGGAAATGGTCCATGTCCTTTCTATCACATTCTGTTGCCCTAAATCAGTTGAATTGTCATTTTCAGATGAAGAAGGAACTGGGAATATAATCTCCCCGTGTGTCCAGAAGGTTAGTGTAAACAGTTTCTTCACTATTTGGCCTAAGGGCTAAACATTTTTGTAGACCTTAAGACATGTAAGATACTGCTTGCCAATTGATTATATTTCTGTATTATATGACAGCAGTGGAGTATTTTAAACTTTTTTGTGGTACTGGACATGGAACGCAGTGCCTCGCGCACGCTGGGAGGCACATGCCTCTTAGGTGTGCTCCAGCCCTCTCTTTTTGTGTCAGGATCTTTCTAAGTTGCCCAGGCTGGCTTTGACTTGCTCTGTAGCCTAGGTAGGCCTTGAACTTGTGATTCTTCTCCTTCAGTCTTTGGAGTAGCTGGGATTATAGATCTGTGCCACAAGGGCTCATTGAGTATTTTTAATTTTTTTGATTTATGTATACTCAATCCTTGATTATCTTAATAAAATCTGTATCCTTGCACCAGTGTTAACTCTGATAGTAGCAATTAACCATTCTTGGTACATTTTGGTAATTTGGAAAATGGTGGCAGTTTTTATTGGAATTGTAATAATCATGATGGTTTCTAAACTGGGGGTAGCGGTGGGATGGGCTGATGATCTTGATGTAGAGATGGAGGCAGAACAACCTGTGTTTGCTTTTGGTTTTTGTCTTCTGCAGCCCCACTTACATTTTTGTCTTTTTCTTCTGTTGTTATTGTTTTCTTCTGTTCTTTGTTGTTGAGTCTGCTCACTGTGCAGCCTGCCTCTGGTTCCTGAGTGCTGGAATTAAAGGAGTGTGCCACCACACTGGCCTGGCCATTACATTTTGAATTTAAAAGCTTCCACAAACCATATTGAAGTTACCAATGAGATAACGAACACAGTGGGGAATAGGCAATGAGTCCACCCTCCTGTCCAGGGTCTGCTGATGCTGGAGTCTGCACTCAGAAACCTCTTGCCTAGGGCATTATTTTTTCTTTCTTTCTAACTTTAGTTAATTTACTGTTGAAATGAGAGGACTGATTTCTGAGACTTTCTCCTGCTTTAGCCTGTCATGGCGGGATGAAATGTATCTGGGTGTCCTTGGGCTCTATAAACTTTCGGAGGAGCTAAGGGGCCTTTCTCCTAGTGCATGTCACCTTACCTGGTTAAACCTGTCTTTATAATCAGAATAGCTCATGGTCCTTATATGGCCTTTGGTGTAGAATGACCATGAAAAAAGGTCCATTGACACTTCTCCCTAAACCACCTGTATCATCTATTTTGGTTTTTAGTTTTATGCATTAGTTTTTTTATTGGAAGAATATTGAAAATGCTGGTCTCTAAGTTATTCTTTTTTATCATCATAATTTTAGCAGATCCAAGAAGATAATAGGATTTATTTTGACTTTTGACATCTTTTTAATGCTTATAGAAGATTGTCTGCATTTAAGGTAGTTCATGTCAAATAGCATTTGCTATATGCTCAGAACAAAGCCTGTGCAGTTAATGCGGATGAGCTTGTAATTCTGGAACACTCTTAAACTTTGAAGTTTTAGAAAATCAGATTTATGGTTTATTTTTAAAGATTTAATTATTTTTATATGTATGAGTGTTTTGCTTGCATGTGTGTAGGCACATCTCCTGTGTGAGGTGTCTATAGAGGCCAGAAGAGGGTGTTGGATCAACTGGAGTTAGAGATGATTTTCAGTTGTCAACTGAACTTGGGTCCTCTGGAAAAGCAAGAAATGCTCTTGACCACTGAGCCGTCTCTTGGGCCTGGGCAGGCTTCCTTCCTTCCTTCCTTCCTTCCTTCCTTCCTTCCTCCCTCCCTTCCTCCCTTCCTTTCCTCTCACATATCCTCTCTCTTTCTCTCTCTCTCTCTCTCTCTCTCTCTCTCTCTCTCCCTCCCTCCCTCCCTCCCTCTCTTTCTCTCTCTCTCTTTCTCTCTCTCTCTTTCTTTCTCCTTTTTGAGGCAGGGTCTCCCTGTAGCCCCAGCTGTCCTGGAACTCATTATGCAGACCAGGCTGGCCTCCAACTCACAGAGATCCGCCTGCCTCTGCCTTCTGAGTGGTGGTATCAAAGGCGTGAGCTACCATGCCTGACTGGGTTTCTTTTTTTTAAAAAGATAGAGCTGGTTTGGAACACACTATGTAGCTGAGGCTGGCCTCAAACTCATAGTAATCCTTCTGCCTCAGCCTCCCAAGTGTAAGACTGCGGTTATAAGCTACCAGGCCCAGCTAGAGTGTTTTTCAGCCATAGCTATTTTCTGGCCTGTGAAGTGTTAAGTACCTGTCTCCTAGAATACCAAGTAGCTTTAGTACCTCAAGGAAGAACTCTGTGCAGTCCAGTTTGTTGATCCCATCCATTTCATAATTGACTGTCCTCTGAGTTCATTGTGTCCAGTTGCTGCTTTCCATGTCCCTTTGGAGTCAGTAGGCAGCTCAAACACTTGTGTGTTCAAAACCGAGTTTCTGTGTCAAAATGACAAATTTGCTTCCTTGACCAAAACCTAGGAGTCCTCCTGGATTGTCTCCTTTCTTTGATAGCCCACATCTAATCTTTGAGCAAATACTTTTGACTGGTATTACCAAAATATACACGTAATCTGATGATTCTTTGTACCTCCCTTGCACTGTCCTCAGCCTGTGTAGCTGAAGTGCTTTTCTGACGGGTGTGTCAGCCCAGGCCCCCCACTCCTAGTCTTCAGCTGAGATCCCTTTCAAATGAAAGGTATGCTATCTTCTCAAAATGCTCGAGGGGCCTATTGTGTCACCCAGAGTAACCACCAAGATCCTTATAGT